TGAATACCTGTCTTGGTAATATGCAAACTCTGATTCACACATTTGAGCCCAGCCTGGACAGCTCAATGAGAACCTGGCTCAAAATTCAAAAGGACTGGAGGTGTAGCTCAGGGTGAAGGCCCTGGTCCAACTCTGGCACTGCAACAAACAAGCGAACACTTGAGCACCTAGAGAGACTGAAAGCAATCATTTTGTTAACTTTGCCTCTAATATGACAAAGAAATGAGTTTTGTAACTTTTAAGATTAGCACATTACTAGACATTATAATACTAATGTAATACAATATGTAATACTACTCAAAAAAGAAACAGATGCCAATTTTCTTCTTTAACAAGTTAAGTTGTTAAACTAATTTAAATAACTGTCTAAAAGTGATTTGTGGAAAATAAATTGTGAACTTACATTGTATTTTGCTGAGGGATCATATAAATATTAAGACAGATGGAAATTTAATCATGTGGTAAATAATGTTATCAAAAATAGACATAAACATTATTGCTTACGTTTTGAATTCTTGAGATTTCTCTTCATTTTGATAAATTTTAGTGTTTTAATTGGCAAGAGAAGGGGACATGGTTTTAGGATATTTGCATATATCTCTAAGAAAAAATTTTTAAATGTACCTATTTTCATCTAGTGCAAAGCCACATTGGATATATCATCACTATCAGTAGTTAACATTACTTTTCAAAGTATTAGAGAATCTTAGTTGCTGTGGAAGAATTTAATAAAACAACTAATACAAGGGTCTGAGTAAAAAGCATCTTTTAAATTAATGTGCAGAAATATTATTTACGTGCAGTCAATTATATTTCCACATGACTGTCCTATGAGCACTCTATTTCATAGAATTAAACACTGCCATATGCCCAACTGTAGAGCAGGTTATAACTTTCTTGTCAATATTTAGGGCTGGATCAGATCCTCATTCAAAGAAGGAGACTGTGAGAATCACTTGTTGGGAACAGTTAGGGAAATCTGAGTATGAGCTGCGTTTTAGATGATATTGAGAAAGTACTGTTAATTTTGTTAAGAGTGATAGTGGTAATATAGTTACATAGGAATTATCACAATGCCTGGAATTTATATTCAAATAACTCACAAAAATTGATAATTGATAAATTCAAATATGACAAAATATTAATAATCATAATAATCATTAAGCCTTGATAATGGAGGTATGTGGGCATCTTAAATTTTTTTCTCTGCTTTTTAGTTTGTCTATTTCCTCAACAGGTCAGAAACACCACGAGGTAAATAAGTGTCCAGCCTCTACGCCCCTCAGCGGCTTGGTGATAAACCAAGGGGCAGGAGGTGCCGTGTGTCCTGAGAGCTCGGCCCCTCCACTGCCCCGGATGCTCACACAGAGGCCCGCACACTGCTTTGTCCTTTTTATAGTTTCTGTTTTTACAGACAGACAGCACCAGCACCTCCCTGAGCAGAGGGCAGAGCACAGGCTGGTGATGCAGCCCCACAGGGATGCAGCTGCCTGAGGTCCATGGTTGTCTGTCATGACTGAAGCTGGCAGGGAAGGTTTTCATCGGCAGCCAATCACTTAAACCTTCAAAAAGGAACAGCACAGCGACAGTCTCCAGTCTTCTTTTCTTGGCGGAGAAGAGATCCGCGGAGGGGATAGGGAAGGAGGGAAACAGCAGAAGTTTTCTGAACCAGCCTCAACCAAGCCTCCTCCAGATGACCCAGGGCGCCCTGTTCCCTCAGCAGCAAGCTGCCCCTCAGCTGGGCTCCCCAAGCTCCTGGCTGCGTTTTAGCTGTCTCTCAGCAGCCTGTCCCTCCCATGGGTCGCGTCTGTTCATGCCCAAGCCTGTTTCCGCCATCTGTGCCTGTGGTCATAACTAAAGTACACAGGAACCAAACTGCAGTGCAGAACTCCGGTCACACAGTGCACGTGTCACAGAGAAGTGACCACAGCTTGGCCCTAGATCCGCAGCGTGGCCACTGAATGAACTTTTAATGTCTTCCAAATATGCAAGCGTTTAAGGTATATATTTTTATGTAAGTGATTCACAGCTTCTACTATAAGCCAATCCACTCCTTCGCCTTATAACACTGGAGGAGAGGCCTCCACCACCCTATGATTCTCTGCCCAGATTCCAGTGAAGATAACCCAAAACCAGATCATCAAAGAGGAAGTTTTTCCCACAGAGCTTGGCCGGGGAACAGATTCCCTGAAGTGCTTCACCTCTGCACTTTATTTAGACTCTTGTCAAGATCCACTGACTCTGAGCACCCACTAGTAGTGTGGGGCACACACTCCTCGTCTGCCTGCTCCCACTTCATGCTCAGAGTGTGGGAGGCCACCTGGCCTTCCAGCTCCGCCTCTGGGGTTGTATGAACTGCAGTCCACATGCCAGTCACCAGCATGCAGGCGTGTCAGGAAATGGAGGCAGGGAAGCTTGGAGGCGCAGCCAGAACGCTCCCCTCAGGACTTCGAGGCCCATGGAGGGAAACCAGGGAGCAGGTGTGGCGCAGCGCAGAGGGAGCCCTGGGGATCAAGGCCTGTGCCCTCTACAGCAGGCCTGAAGACCTTGACGCTCAGCCTCTGGACAGAGCCACTGGGAACGGGACGCTTCCAGCGTGGTGACACAGTGGTGCAGGGTGTCGGGCAATCTACTTCCACCCCCAGCCACGTTCCTTGGAGACCAGCTGAGACCCCACTCGCACTCCAGTGCCAGAGTAAGAGAGGGGTCTTCCCACAGCAGGTGGACATGTAGCCTCGGGACATGTATTCCCGTCCCAGCCTAGCCCAGGGTTCAGGGACAGTCTTACTGCCGGCGGGCGGTCGGCTGCAGGGCAAGGCAGGGAGGCGCTTTCGTCCCGTCTGAGCCAGTGCTCTCGCTCTACCTCTGCTGCCTGAGGCCGTGACCACCGCGGCAGTGAGGCAGCCAGTCATCAGCAGGGAAGGGACACTCTGCACGGTGAGAGGACGAGCGGGCGCCCCTCAGCTGGCCTGAGAACCCAGGTGTTGCTGAGAAGCAGGAGCTTTTCCACCTTCCAGACCCAGGGACGCGACCCCCGGGGAGGCGGGCCGGGCTCCTTGCGGCCTCTGCAGGGGAGGTGGCCCGGCCTGGCTGCAGCCCTGGCTGGCCCTGTGGCCAGAGAGCAGGAAGGACGCCACAGCAAGGACGTTATAGGACAGTTGTCTCAGGAGCTTTGTATCCCTCACAGAGAACTGAGCAGGACACAGAAATGGTAAGAAAGGCAGAGATTTATTGCAGGAAAGTACATTCCGCGGAGCGTGTCCAGCCAAAGAGAAAACTCCAGAACAAGTTTGCCTCTGGGAACTATCCGGGCTGCGTGGCTGCCGAAGCGGGGTGCGGGGGACACTGCTGATGCTGTGATGGCCACCGCCCACCCTGAAGCAGCTGCTGCGGACGCCCCCGGGGCCAAGGAGGCGGGACAGGGTCAGCCCCGGCAGGTCGCCACAGAGACGCGGGAGCGCAGGGCAGGCCCCGCGAAGGAGGCACGCGTGCGCGGGCGGCGGTCCAGGGCGCCCCCGCGCTAATCCTGCCCTGCGGAGCGGGGCGGC